AAATCAGCCCATGAACGTCTCAGTTCTCTTAGTTGTGGGCTTTTCTTTCAAATCCTCTCTTCAATCCTCCCATCCCTTACTAAAGGAAACCGGTATTAATTCTCAAAATAACGTCTCAATGCTCTTAGTTGAGGTTTATAAGGTAAGATACTCGGCTCTTGCTAAGATACCGGTAGTTTTGTTGAAATTGTCATTATGCATGTATTGTTACAATGCATCATTATTTTATTTTTTTAGCAGAAACAATACACAGATTGTTTCTGTGATGTGACAGAAACTATCATTCATTTTGAGTGATTGTTATATCTTAACTTTTAGTTGTGATTGTTGAGATAGTTGAGTTGAGATTGTTTTGTCTCAGCTTTTAGCTTATACGACATACACAATCACACATACCAAACGTTGTATTCTACAATGCATCAAATTCGACAATACATGTATAATATTATACATGCATTCTCAACAATATATCTATTTAACAATCACAACTTCCAAACGATCCCTTAGTTTCAATCCAAGAAGACCTTTTCAATAAGGCTACGGTGATCGAGTCAATGAAGTACATCCAACGGAAATGATTTTAGCTTATGCGACATACACAATCACGCATACCAAACATTGTACATGCATCAAATTCGACAATACATGTATAATATTATACATGCATTCTCAACAATATATCTCAACATCTATTTAACAATCGCAACTTCCAAACGACCCCTTAGTTTCGATCCAAGAAGACCTTTTCAATAAGGCTACGGTGATAGAGTCAGTGAAGTACATCCAACGGAAATGAGTGTCCCAATTGCCAAGGTGTCAGAAAGGTAGATTAGAAAGGTAGAACTCAGGCATCACTTGTGACAAAGCATAAAATCTTTCATCAATGCTCAAAACTTAAAGAGATCATTAGGTCTTACAAGGTACTAGCGCATACCAACCAGAAAGGAAACAGCACTGTCCACAGGCCACAGCTAATAAGATCAGGAAAAATCGAAGACAAAAACAGTGAGATTACAATTCCAACACATCTAACTCTCGGTCTGCTCCCTCAACCTACGGATGGTACTCCTCACAGTCACAGCACTCGCGGTACTGCCATAGACAAACACAACTAGCATTAGAACCTCCGCCCCCTTCAATTTCAAGATCAAAGGGCAGTTACAATTTTAAAGAGAGTTTAAGTCCTTACTTCATGGTGTAAGCACCTCCTGCTTTGACCTTGCCACAATCTTTGCATCCCCAGATACCCACAGCCTTTCTCTTGACAGCATCCTGGCAAAAGCAGAGAAGCTTACCATCAATCCAGTGTTCAAGGGACCAAGAACAAACAAAAGCAAATACAGCGAAGACAACATGATCATTCAGTACCTTGCCACAGAACTCACAGAAGTACTTCCTGTGTTGGCTAACTTCCATCTTCTTAATCTGTTTCCTCAGACTAGCACCATAACGTGTGCCTGCATCGAAAGGGTACAAGGAATGTGAACATGACCTTCCTATCCATAAATCCAAGACCTAGCAAAATGGACGAAGCACGACAAACAAAAGAAAACTTGTGCATTGCAAGCACCGAGTCGACTAACTAACATACATACATTCAACCAATTTCCAAAACCAAAACTTGTCACCATGTCCAACTTCTAAAAAAACGCATCCATTTTCTTGCAGTGATGCAGCAAAACAGCACAAAGGGTAAGAAGGAAACAGTAGCAAGAAGACGTACCGTATTTGCCGACAATACCAACCTTCTTGGTTCTCTTGGCCTGTAAAAGAAGAGAAACAAAGAGAATCGACTGAGTTAGGTCAATGAGACGAGAAGTGAAAATAAAAAGTCCAATTCTTTCGCAGAACACGAAACCAGGTGATGCAAAGAACATATCATAGCTCTCGTATCTCCGATTCCATGCCTGTCTAAACAAAATCATAAATGACCTAAAAGGAATCCCTTCTCGGGTGCCACAGATAGATGCTATGATCCGTTTAGACGGAATTGAATCCTTTTTCCATTGATTCGAAAACGTTCACATTTTCAAAACGACAGAAATCAGAAAGATCCGCGGCAGCGGATGAAGATGAGAAGGAAGTACCATGGCGGACGGCGGCGAGAGAGCGGTAGAGCAGAAACCCTAGGCGAGACTGGAGAAGTATACGAAAAGAGTCATTGGCGAGTTTGCTAGCTAAGCTACATATAGGCATAATTACTTAAATGGTAACTATAATTTGGGGTTATTGGTCAACCGGATGCACAACTTGTAAGTCTTAACAAACTAGTCACTTTCTAAGTTTTATATTTTGAAGGCCTGGCCCGGTTGTTGGAGATTTTTGTACTTCGGTTGCGGTGAAGCCCAAATAGTTCAAGGCTTTAAGCCCATAGCCCAGAATACTAGGCCCAGCTATAAAATTTGACTTCTTGGTTCTCTTGTTGAGGGTCGAGGAAGGGAATTGGTGAGAATTTCATTTGTGGTTCACATGTGGGTTCACATGCACTTGGATAACCGACTTGGTTGTTAAGGGTGTTGAAAGGGTGTGATTATTGTAATGATCATTTTAATCAATAGTATTTGGATGATTTGGTTTGATTAATTTAGATAATTGGCATGGTTTAATTAATTGTTTTAGCTTGTTTAATTTAGGTGGTTTGATTTGAATTCATACACTACTAACCGATCAAACCAAATTACCATTTAAGTAATTATCTATATATCTAATATATTATATAGACATATCTCAAAAAACACAGATGTTCCAAGCATACTTCAACATCAACATCAGTAAACCCATTTCTTCAAGGAGAAATTTTACAATGCTATATAGTATTGGTGCTTTAGGGTTTTGTCTTTATAGTACAACTTAAAATTGTATATTTACATTATGGTACAACTTCAGATTGTACCTATATCTTTTGTACAAATTCTTTTATGGTACCAATGTAGTCAAAAGCGAGTTGCGACGTAGAAACGTTTTGGTGATCTAGAAGCGTAAAATCGCAAGTTTCTTTAAGTTTTAAAGCGCAGTTTTTAACTACGTAAGTTATAAAAACTTAGATTTGTGTAGAAGCGTTTTAGTGACCTAGAAATGTAAAATATCAAGTTTTTAAGTTTTAAAGCGCGATTTTGACTACATTGTATGGTACAACTTGAACTTGTACCTTTATGTGATGGTACAACTTCGAGTTGTAAAGTTGTACCATAACATAATGATACAAATTGATTTATGGTACAACCTAAACTTATACATTTAATGTTATGGTGCAACTTTAAGTTGTACATTAAAGCACCAATACTATATAGCATAGTAGAAGTGCTCTTCTTCAAGTTGTAGCAAGCAATTCTGCAATAGGGAATTCGTGTTAAACTTATTTATGTGTTCGCCAGAGAGAATTCCAGCAACATGATCAGAAAGTTTAACAAGAATAAGTTGAGGGGGAAAAAATGCCTTCACCTCTTAGTTCATCTTCTGCCGATGGGAAAAGCAACGTTAACACATCTAATATGGCCTACGCATTGCCTGTTTCTTCGGCTTCTTGACAAAACTTAGTCTAATCTCCTTGCGACACCTTTTTTCCTAGCTGTTTTTTCAGGCAGTGTTTCCCTCTTCTTCCCCTTCTTCACGACCTTTGGCTTGGGCAAGTACCTAGAGTCAATCTTGTATTCTTTGGGCGTGACTGGTACTCCATTACCCACTGCTTCACTGTAAAGAGAATTCGCTTTATCGAGACGCTTATGAGCACACCACTTCTCCATCAACAACTTATAAGTCTTCAATCCAGGGTTGGAGTCGTCTGCCTTCATTATCTCGAACACACCCATGACATGCTCAATCCTCTCAATCCCACACAATATCTTCAAGAACCCATAATATGTTTTTACATCGAGCTGATCCCCATAACCAGCACTTTGTCAATCATTTCATCTCCCTCTTCAACTCTTGTTGCCTGATACAAGCTCTTAATCAACACAAGGAAAGTGGTGGCATTAGGATAGCATCCCCACTCTGGCATCCTCTAGAACAAATCCATTGCCTCTTGTGTTCTCCTCAACTTGCACATGTTAGTGAACATGACATTGAATGTCTCCACGTCTATAGGAATACCTCGAACGTCCATCTCCACCAAAACTTTCTCGGTTTCAAACTGCATCCTAAAATGAGTCCTTTTCCATATAGAGCTTAAACACACAATCCAAAAGAGCATTGTACGACACAACACTGAGCTTATCTACCCTTGTAAGTCTCTCCTACTAACCTTTTGGCCTCATCCAGTTGCCCATCAACACACCAACCTTTAATCAGCAGATCACAGATGGTCTCATCGGGGGAATATCTCATTAGCTATATTTTTCACCATCTTCTCATCGTAATTCGCATGGCCATGATCACACAGCTTTCTGACCACCAGAGTAAGCGAGTCTCTATCGCGCTTAAACCCATAGTCTGCCTCCATCTTCCCAAAAAAACTCCACAACCTTCTTAGACCTCCCTGCCTTGGCAAGCCTATCAACCATTGATTCGAATATTCTAGACCAAATAACACCTTTTCCCTCCTCCGGCAGTTATGTTGGGTTGGTGGAGTTTTGGCTTGGACAAAGGTCCCGTGGTTTTTCCCGATTTGGGTTTTCCACGTAAAAATCGTGTGTCTTGTGCATTCTCTTCTTGCTTGTGGTTGCTTCCCCGTTTCTCAACATTGGTATCAGAGCATTAGGTTGTTTGGGGGCTATGTATGGTGAATGGAAAGAATGGATGACTCAAGTGAAACAATGATCAAGTTGACATCATCCAACTACTCTATTTGCAAGCCACGGATGGAAGATATTTTGTTTTGCAAGGATCTCTACGAACCAATTGAAAATGGTAGAGAGAAGCCTGAAGACAAGACCGAGAAGCAAAGGGAGGTCTTTCATAGAAAGGCAGTGGCAATCATTCGACAATGGATTGACCAAAGTATCTTTCACCGTGTTGCAAAAGATATAAGAGCAGATAAATTGTGGTAGAAATGAGAGTCCATGTATGAGAGGCAATCGGCTCAAAACAAAGCCTCACTCATTCAAAGAATTGTGAACTTGAAGTACAAGGATGGGCATAGTGCCTCAGAGCATTTGAGTGACTTTCAAGAGCTTGTGAACCAGCTAACTACTATGAAGTTAGCACTTGATGATGAAGTGCAAGCATTGTTATTTCTTAGTTCTTTGCCGGATAGCTGGGAGACTTTGGTGGCCTCTCTTAGCAACTCAGCAGCTAATGGCAAGTTGACGATGGGATTTTTCAAGGATAGCATGCTGAATGAAGAGGCAAGGAGAAAATAGTTGGGGATTACATCGGAGTCACATACTTTGGTGGCGGATAATTCTGGAAGTCGTGGAAGAAGTAGAAATTAAAATTTCAACTTCAAGAACTCTCAGAATCGAAGTAACAGCCAAGGGAGATCAAAAGGGAGATCAAAATCAGTGTCAAGACCAAGAGGAGAAATCACATGTTATCATTGCAACCAGCTCAGACCGGATACATAAGGGGAGAGTGCAGAACCTTGAAACGAGAACAAACTAGAGGAAAAGGCGTGGAAAACCGAGAAAAAGAAGATACTACTGGTGCTGCCATAGATGGTGATATGGTCATTTTTTGTGATGCTGCTTTTGTGAACCTTGCTTGTCAGGAGAGTACATGAATTGTTGACTCGGGTGCCTCTTTCCATGTGACCTCACGGGTTGAATTTTTCTCTACCTACACAAACGGTAACTATGGTTGTGTGAGGATGGAAAATGATGGTGCATCAAAGATTGTTGGCATGGGTGATATTCATCTAGAGACCAACACGGGTTGCAAGCTAGTCTTGAAGGATGTGAGACATGTTCCTGACATGAGGCTGAATTTGATATCCACGGGAAAGCTTGATGATGATGGTTATCTTATACCAACTATTTTGGAGAAGGAAAATTGAAGCTCTCAAGAGGTTCTCTTGTGGTGGCTAAAGGCAAGAAGGAAAGTACGCTCTACATGACGAATGCAAAATATAGCAAGGGATGAATCGATGTTGTTGAGAAAGATTCTTCCATTGAGCTTTGGCATAAGAGACTCAGTCATTTGAGCAAGAAGAGGCTGTAAATATTGTCCAAGAAACAACTCTTTCCCGGAGCTAAAGGTACTCTTCTTAAAACTTGTGTTGATTGCTTATCCGGAAAAACTCATAGAGTTGCTTTTCATAGATTCCCACCTTCAAGAAGAAGTAAGGTACTTGATCTAATTCACACTGATGTTTGTTTTATGAGAGATAAAAATCTTGGTGGTGCAAGCTATTATGTTACCTTTATCGATGATCACTCAAGGAAGGTGTGGACATATGCTTTGAAAAGCAAAGATCAAGTGCTAGATGTTTTCAAGCAATTTCATGCTGAAATTGAAAGGGAAACCGGTCTCAAGTTGAAGTATGTAAGAACTGATACCGGGGTTGAGTATAGAGTCCATTTGAAAACTACTGCAGATTGCACGGAATCAAACTTCAGAAAAGTGTACAAGACTCCACAACAAAACTGAGATGATGATAGAACAATCTGTAAGAGAATCAAGTGTATGCTTTCACATGCCAAGCTAACTAAATCCTTTTGGGGAGAAGCAATGCGGACAGCCGTTGATCTAATCAACCTCTCACCATCAGTCCCTTTGGAGGGTGACGTGCCTCAACAAGTATGGACGGGAAAAAAGTCTCATACGAACACTTGCGAGTGTTCGGTTTTAAAGCCTATGTTCATGTTCCAAAAGATGAGAGAGCAAAGCTTGATGACAAAGCAAAGCCATGTATATTCATGGGCTATGGGCATGAAGAGTTTGGGTACAGATTATGAGATCCATTTGCAAGGAAAATTGTTCGGAGTCGGGATGTGATTATTTTTTTTAAGATGAGACAAGTGAAGACGTCGAAAGGGGTGTGTTGGGATATGGATTAATATGCCTAACACGACTATAAACAGTCCTAAGCCCACCGCAAGGCGTCCTGGGCCCAAGCCCACACCCTATATAAGGAGGCCTAACCCTCCAAACTAGAGATCCTCTCTTCCCTTCCCACACTCTAACCCTAAGGTCTCTCTCTAAACTCTCTCTCTCTCTAGATACCATAAACCTCATCCTATATCGTACTAACTTGGGCGTCGGAGCATAGATCCCGGGGGCCGCTCTCCGCCTCACAGGTTCTTCCACTCCCGAGGAGATCGGACGAGGGAGTCCAGATCGGAGCCCCATAACCGCCTAGTACATTCTAGGTTCAAATAATTGGCGCCCACCGTGGGGCACTAATTTGGCATTCCATTATTCGATTTCCGAAGGAGGAGGATGAAGAATCCTCATCGTCGATGCATGACTTTCTCCCCCACAAGCAGCGACAACGATTCAGCCGACCGCCGGTCTCACACTGTTTCTTCTAAAAAACTCGTTGTCTCTAGAAAATTCCCCACCTAGCGAAAGGAAAATGAAGAGAATATGTTAGCTCTCCCCAAACTTAGCTTGCGGATGCAGTGATATTACGCCAAGGAAGAGAAGGAAGAAAACCAGCGGCATCAGCGCCCTCGTCTCCTATCGCCGACCAAGACTGGAAAATTTCCATCAATAGACAAATAAGCTCGAGGCAAGAGCTACCTGTATTCATTCATCACCAGCAACAATGAAGAAGCCGAAGAGCTCAGCCAAACAGAGGTACTCGACATTACGGCCGTCGTCCCATTGCTCGCCTCCGCCAGCACTGCCACCACCCCTAAAGTCTGGTCGTATCCTCGCGAAACAAAGGAAAGGAAAAGGAGCATCAGCAACAAGCAGCCAAGCCAAGAAACGAATCAAAGCTTTGTGATTTTCCATATTTCGGCCGCCGGAGATAGGTACGACGCCTGAGCTCCGGCTGGAGCTAAAAGAGACCCTTGAGTCACCATCACAAGTCACTGTCACGATGGCCTCTATCACTTTTCCTTAGAATAGGCTACAGTCACTTGTCTCTTTCAGTCACGAAAAGCAAAAGGACCCGACTATCAAGGCAGACCGGCACACATGTCGAGATAGGCTCACGGACCAGACTGGGACGCGGTTGAAGGGCAAAACATATGCCAAAAGCAGAAGCGCTCAGGAAGAAATCAGCAAACACCGCTCCAAGTGAATCCCACCATACGTCACAAAGCGGTCGTCACCTTCAATGAACAATTTGGCCCGCCTCTTTCTCAAGTGCACGATTCGCACTCCCACACCTGTCTTTGATGGATTCAAGCCCACAAGCCATTCATCAAGAGAAGCCTCCGATTAAAATAAAGCCGGAACAACTTAAGGCAGGAGTCGATCCCGCAACCGCATTACATTAAACAAAGGTGTCCACCACTGAGCTACAGGATTGATGATGTCAACTTGCCCGCCGAGCGCTGTCGAAAACCGCTCCGCCTGCCAACCGCACAACGCAGGCCCGCCATGCATCGAACGAGCCCGCTCACTGTCAAAACCCGCTCCACCTCCTTCAATTGTGCCAACGCGTGTAACACCCTACCCTATACGTTTTTCCTAATCATATTTTTCATACAATTGCAGCGGAATTAATCTCGGGTGTTACATTAATTATCAAAATTTACCTAAATAAAATTTCGACATGAATTACTCGCGTAATGGGCTAACAGTTCTTGCAACTTAACCTGCAAAATAATTCATCACAAACATATATACTCACAACCATATGCATTGGCTTTTCTTAGCCATAGTCACACTTTTCATACTTCCTAACTGCATACCATACTTATACATACCATAATCGTCACAACTTACACAGTTACACAACATATACACATATCATTAACTTTCCACACCTGTGGATATCTCACACTACATCAGAAGCTAGTATGCACATGAAAAACGTTCTCAAAACATTTTTTTACAAAAAGGTGTGGATCACTGGCCAAAATCCCGAGTAGTAGTCCAAGCACAGAATAGTTGAAGACCATACCTCATCCTGGCTTCAACTCTAGCTCCTCTCCCACCTAACACTTATCTACTGCTGCTGATGATGATCTGCTTACACATAGCATAAGCAGAGAAGAAGAATAAAAGAGGGTCAGCTCATAGCTGAGTGAGATAATCATAGCATCGTGAGTTCATAACAGAGCATACCCCTACCATACATCTAGCAAATGAGCCAAAACACTAGGATCGGACCTCAGCCATCCTCATATCCCAATAAGCAAAAGACTCAACCACCTTGACTTATGCATATGCATCTTATCATGTTTTACTTATAGGCGCCAGGCTACTCCCTTGCTAATAACTCTCCCGGGAAACATACCCCACATCCCGTCGGATGTAGTCATACATACCCCAACATCCCGTCGGATGTGGTCATACATACCCCACACCACTATGGGTGTAGTCATACCCCGACACCGCTCTGGGTGTGGTCATATCTCATAAGAATTCTTCAGTCACCACCAAATGAGAGGTGTGACTATCATACATATCATAATAGAGTAATAGCATAGGGAGCCCTAATTACTATGTAGTTGACCGTGAGACCACCACACTCATTATTGGTATCCTTATACATGATTCATATCTCATCTTGCTTAATCATAATTCATTACTTGCACATGTACTTGACCTGGCCACAATTGGCTCAACATAGGTAAATCAGGAGTCGTATAATTGCATTTCCTCGGGATAAACCCTCGTGCAAGTCATCCTCCTTAAACATCATAATATCACCCTGGGAAGTTTATTTTCCCCACTTGTGAATCCAAAAACAACCACAATATCACATCATGTCAAAAACCCTTATCGAACAACCATAAAGTCATATCAACAGTTAAGCCACAAATGGCAACATGTATGCAATCATCCACATAAACAAGGTTCATATCCATTAGGGCAAGTCAATAATATCATACAGCAGTCCAGGGTTCATCATATAGCACAAAAGTCCATACACCCCTAATCATGCCATTCTAGTTCACCTAGGTCAATTCTAAGCATCAATATAATTATCGTGATACGATAAACCCGGTATGCCGTGCTAATCCCTCACCAGTTCTGGTCGTTCAAACACCGGTTTAACCTTCCCGTACTAAAACGTCAATTTCAGGAACGAACCCCGAATTAAAATCCGAGACCGTCCTAATATCCCCTGCAGTATCCCCGTCAATATTAGTTCTAGGCTCCGGGTCAAATTCTCGATAAAAACACATCAAACCCTGGCCGGAGCTAAATTCAGCGGTTTGGACCCTGGCCTAAATAATAGCCGAAAATCAGGAATTAGAACTAGGGGATTGATTACCTCGCTGCAAGAAGCTCGTATATGAAATTTGGGCTCAATCCGGCTTCCGGATACTCCGAAACCCTAATTTGGCTTACCGGGAATTCAAGAAATTCCTAATCCAAAAACTCGTTTTAAAGCTCTAAATCGATAAATCACGATGAATAGATGAATTAGGCATTACTTACGGGATTTTTGGATCACTTATTCTCAAGAATTGAGCTCCGAGGATTTTTCTGTTCCTCCCCTGCGCGCCCTGCTTCTCGGTTTCTCTCGGCCCGTGAATGGTAAAGAAAGAACAGAATGAAAATGGAGAAAAAGATGACGGTGAGGAGTTATATATGTATATATGGCCGACTGATTTGATTATATATATAATATATTATATATTATATATATATAATTAATACATATACTTATCCGATCGATCGATAATCCGATTTTCATCGAAATACTATCAAAACGCTCGATTTTAAATCGCGAACTTTCTAGCGATCGAAATATGGGTTTTGCCAAAACGGGATGTTACAATTCTCCCCTCCTTAAAAGATTTCGTCCCCGAAATCTAACCTGGAGTCATTACCTAACTCTTAGGTTAGGCAATTCATAACATAGAAAGTAACACATAACACCTCAAGTTCCCACGTTTAGGTTTCAAAAACCTGTACTGGGCTATCACAACAAAAGCACATCAGCAAGTTCAAAACATATCTTATTAGGCAAGATTGTTAACCTGCAAAGTAGGTTGCTACCAACTCAGGGTACTTCTCTCGCATACTTGCTTCAGTTTCCCAGGTAGCACTCTCACTTTCTTGATTTCTCCAAACCACTTTCAACATTGGGATTTCCTTCCTACGAAGATTCTTAATCTGGTAATCAACAATTTCAACTGGAACCTCTTCAAATGTCAAATCTGAACCCAACTCGATCTCTTCTGGTTGTATAACATGGGAAGGATCCACTTTGTACCTCTTTAGCATACTAACATGAAATACATTGTGGATTTGAGATATTTCTGGAGGCAATGTTAACTTATAAGCCACTGGTCCAATCTTCTCTGTGATTTCATATGGCCCAATATATCGAGGTGCAAGCTTTCCTTTCTTACCAAATCTCATCACCCCTTTCCATGGTGACACTTTGAGAAATACTTTCTCACCCACTTCGAAATTAGCTTCACGCCTACTCGTGTCAACATAAACTTTCTGTCGATCTTGAGCCACCCTCAAACGCTCTTTGATTTCCTTGACCTTGTCAACTGTGATCTGAACTATCTCTGGCCCTGAGATTTGCCTTGCTCCTTCTACATCCCAACATAATGGTGTTCTACACTTCCTCCCATAAAGTGCTTCATATGGTGGAACACCCAAGCTACTATGGTACTGATTGTTGTAAGCAAACTCAATCAAGGGCAAATGGTCAATCCATGATTCTTCCCATTGCATTACACATGATCGAAGTAATTCCTCCAAGGTTAGGATGGTTCGTTCACTCTGCCCATCTGTTTGAGGATGATAAGCTGAAGTAAAATGCAGTTTAGTTCCCAAGGCATCATGTAAACTTTGCCAAAATCGAGATGTGAAGCTTGGGTCTCGATCAGAGACAATAGAAATTGGCACACCATGCAATCTGACGATCTCCTTAATATATAGTTGAGACAAAGTCTCGAGTGATGGTTTCCATCTAATGGGTAAAAAGTGAGCCGATTTGGTTAGTCGGTCCACAATAACCCATACTGCATCTTTTCCCCTTGATGATGGGAGACCATATACAAAATCCATTGTGATTCTTTCCCACTTCCATTCTGGAATTGGAAGTGGTTGCAGTTTTCCCACAGGAGCTTGATGTTCTGCCTTAACTTTCTGACATACTAGACATGTGAAAACATGTTCAGCCGCTTCCTTTTTCATCCCACGCCACCAAAAACATGGTTTGATCGTGTGATACATTTTAGTTGCTCCTGGGTGCATAGCATAAGCAGAAGAATGAGCTTCATCTAGGATCTCTTTCCTCAAATTATCAACATTAGGAACACATGCTCTTCCATTCATCTTCAACATGCCATCTACCATTTCAAATGGGCTTTCTTTTCCTTCCTCAATGTCTTGAATGATTTTTGCCAACTCTGGGTCCTCCTTCTGCTTCTCACGAATTTTGTCGTGCAACAAAGGTCGAATGTTCAACCGAGCTAGTAACCCTGTTACACCATCCACTTCCAAATCAACATTCATTGCCCTCAAATCAACCAGATCATTTATATTCTTCTTCCCCTTTCTGCTCAGAGCATCAGCAACTACATTAGCTTTACCTGGATGGTAATCAATGGTACAATCATAATCTTTCAACAACTCTATCCATCTCCTCTGGCGACTATTTAAATCCTTCTGATCCATAATATACTTCAAGCTTTTGTGATCAGTTAGAATTTTAAAAGTCTCACCATACAAATAATGTCGCCAAATCTTGAGAGCAAATACCACCGCTGCCAATTCTAAGTCATGAGTGGGATAATTTACTTCATGAGGACGCAATTGCCTAGAGGCATATGCGATAACTCTTCCATCTTGCATTAACACACAAC